CCAGCCAGCCACAACACCATGAATTCCTTAGGGAGGTGCCAGCCTCACCTTCTTGAACTTCCCACACTCCTGTTGTGGGCTAAGAACATGCTTATCTCCCTGAGCATGGGCTTCGTAAGTCCATTCCATTACAATTCTCTTGATTAAGGGGTTGAGTAAGAGTTGTATTACGAAATAAAAACAGGACTTTAATTTTGGGTGAGAGTTTAGTAAAGGCCAAAGGATGACTTGGTATATTATCCAAAACAATTAGATTCTTAAAATCCACATTTTTGCTCTTATAAACACTTTGATTTTAAGTTATCTTCTACTTAAGATATCCTCTAACACATTGATAATACTCTAACACATTGAGTAGAAGATTAGTGAAAATCTGCCCTCTCATCTACCTTTTGCTGTGTCTGACGTGGACACCAATGGTAGATCTTAGATTCCCTTTTAAGGCTTGGTAATTGGCTGCATGATTAAAAAAACAACAGGCTTCAGTTTCAGGTTGCTGCTCCCAACATTATAGTCAGTCCTTAACAGCTTTGAATCCTGGAACTCATACTTCCTCCCATGAGATACAGATTTGTGATGGCTTTGTTTTCCAGTAAAGATCAATTTCATCAAAATTGAATATCTGATCTTATGTATAGCCTTTGTGCTAATTTTTGTTTTTATTGCAAGAAATGCTTTCAGCAAAAACTTGCCTTTTCCCAGCATTTCTTCTGATTGTCTGTAATGTTGCTAGTAGAACACACGATGTAACACCTCCTTTCATTTCTTTCAAAAAAGCTTGAGAATTTCAAAGTACTTCTCTGTCGCTAAAGCTTTTCTTTTTCTTTTTCCACCTGAAATTTTATCACCAGCATCCTTCCTGGCACATTTTTTTCCAACTAGTTTACTCATTTGGAGGGGGGGGGAAGCACACTTGAGCAGTAATAACACCCAAAAACTGAGGAGAGAGCTGCAACAGACACTAACAAAGTACCATATATGCATTAATTGATTTGAGTGGGTAGTGAACAAAGCAACAAGCTATTGTGTTCAACTGGGTATGGCTTGCCATATTCATTTATCATTTCTGATTGGTGCAATATTGAAACTCAGGAAAATTGTGCATAAGTGAACCTGTTTCATGCTGTGCAAACATCTTTTTTATCAGTTGTGTATGAGTGAATTAGTATTGCATGAACATATGCTATATGAGAACTATACAGTGAATTTAGCCAGCCCAGCAAAAACTAATTAATTAAAGGGGAGCTAAAATAGAGCATCCAAAGAGTTAAATTTAATAAGTTTTGTTAAACAAAATGTAGAGATAAAAGAATGTAATCTGTGTTCAGATTTGAGCTTGAAACTTCATTAGTATATCTGATTTGTATTTGTTTATTTTATCTATATTTCAAATTTAGTATTCATACTTTACTGAAACATTTAAACCTTTATGTTTGTAGCCAGGTCGATTATCGAGCAAAACTATGGGCTTGCAATTTTTGTTATCAGAGAAATCAGGTAAGTTAAAATTTATATTTATTCCAGCTACTGTATTTTAAGGGGTTTTTTGCTTTATTAAATATACAGATATTACATTGATAGCATGGTGAAAAGAAAAAAATGCAGAAATCAAGTTTGATGTTATGTAAAAATGAATCAGTGTTATGGTCTGAAATAACAATTAACAGAACAAACATTTAAGTAAAGAAAAAGAAACTGAAAATCCTGAAAGAGAAGTTCCCTGTCTTCTTTGTTGAAAAAGGACTAACTCCAGTTTTAACAAGCGACATGTTATCATGTTATGAGTAATCTCCTGTACATCAGGTGTAGATTCATCTTTCTGATGATGCATACAGGTAGTCTTCACTTAATAACTCTGACTGGGACTGGAATTTCCATCGTTAAGCGAAGCGGTCATTAGGTGAAACATCACATGACTGCACTGTTTAGCAACTGCAGTTCCAGTAGTCCCAGTTGTGGTTGTTAGGCCAGGACTGCACTGTCGTTAGGCAAGGACCTGCTTCTCCTGTCCTACTGCACTCACCTCTGCTTCAACTCCACCCACCCACCTATGCCCCCCCCCGTTGCTGCCCTTTTGGCCGCCCTTCACTTTGCCACTTACCCCTGCTGCCCCAGCTGACTTTCACTGTCTTCTTCCTCCTGCTACTGGCCTGGGATCCAGCTGCTAGGCGAGGGTGCAGCCCTGGAATGTGCGCAGCAAGTGCGGCAGGGTGGCAGAGCCTTGTCTGCCGAAGGGAGCTTTCCAGGCCTGGCCTGGGAGGAGGCAGCAGGATAGGATAGCAAGGCATGGTGTGCTCCATTGCCAGGCGAGGCAGGAGAGGTGGTGGTGGCTCCCCAGGCAAAGGTGGAGGCTGTGAGGGCGGCGCTATTCGAGGTGGTGACAAAACTGGAGGAAGCTGAGTGCCAAAGGCTTCCCAGAGGTGCAGCGTGCGCTCTGCAGCTTACTTTGGAAGTGCACCTGGAGAAACGGCCTGCAGGGCTTCAGCAAGGGTCGGAGGTGAGTCCAGTGCCAACAGAGCCTACCCGCAGGCCCTCTGCTTGCTCTTGGCCCAGCCTTCCTCCTGCAAAGACTCACGAAGGGTCCGCAGCTTCCAGTGTGCTGAAGCCCACAGACCAGTTCTCCAGGGACACTTTCAGCACATGCTCTGCAGCTCTTGTCCCTCCACTTCCTTGCTGGAGGGACAGCAAGCCCAGCAACAGAGAGTGCCTCACCTCGCTCTCCCATCCTGCTGCCTCCTCCCCGACCAGGTCCTGCAAGTCCCTTCAGCCGACAAGGCTCTGCCACCCAGCCAAACTTGCTGCGTGCATCCCAGGGCTGTACCCTTGCCCAGCACCTGGATCCCGGGCCAGCAGTAGGAGGAAAAAGACAGCGAAGGCCAGCTGGGGATGGGGGCAGCAGGGGTATGAGGCGGAGTGCAGGGCAGCCAAAAGGGCAAAGGTAGGAAGAGATAGGCGGGGGAAAGGTGAAGTGCCCCTGTGGTTGTTAGTGCGGGTGGGCTGTCAAGCGCCTGAATTTTGATCACATGACTGTGGGGGCACTGCAGTGACTGGAAGTTCAAGGACCAGTTGTAACTACCATTTGTTCAGTGCCACCATAACTTTGAATGGTGGCTGAACGAATGGTCCTTAAGTGAGGACTACCTGTAGTAATAGACTTCCATGCACAAAATATCTATAATTCTTGATGTCTTGATATATAAAACCTGGGGATATAGCCAAGGAGAATATACAAGTCTTTGATTTTAGTGATCAGTGCTTGTGATGTTGGTGATCATGCACATTTCAGACCAAGATATGGTAATATAATAATATCACAAGGCCAAATCATGCACATTAATGTTCCAACCCCATAATTCTATTTTCAACAGCAACATTTTCCGAGATGTCCCGGATACATGAAAAAAACCTAATGTAGTAACCACATTTTAGGATCAAGGAAGCTAGTTTAATAGTTTTTAAAAGAACCTGCTGCTGGTTTGCAAGAACAGGAAATTCAAGCTTGTTATTCCAAAGTTTATATGAATAATTAATATATTACTTCCTTTAGTTTCTTATAAAGATAAGTTACTGACTTACAATTTTATACTTCCATGACCTTGAATAAATACAGAATTTGAGAGAAGCAATAGCATTTGAACCAAAGAGTACAGTTTGTAATTAAGATCAAATTAAGTCCCAAAATGAATTGAGGACTGACCTTCCGTATTCTGATGTGCACCCCAGGCTAAAATGACCAATGGTAAGTCTGAAGGATTTCAGGTATAGGGATATGGTATAGATATTAAGATGCACAGATGATATAAAGATAGTAATAAAATTAATTATGTTTCCAAGTGTGATGTGGTTGATTTATATGAACATTTCCATCATTTTTCTTTCAGTTTCCTCCTACATATGCTGGCATATCTGAGATGAACCAGCCTGCAGAACTTCTACCACAGTTTTCTAGTATTGAATATGTTGTACAGGTAAATACTATGTTAAAAAATTAAGGGGTGAATGTTGAGCCAGTGAACTATAGTAGAGAGAGAAGGCGTGATGACCAGTATGGCTGCATATTATTACAATATGCACTGTCATTTGATAATGCAATGGAGTAGGTCAGAATTATGCTTTTCACTGGCATAATTTAATGTGATATATCATAGAATTGTATAACTTATTTCGTGAGAAGAGCATGAATATTTCTCAGGTGATAGCGTAAAGATGATTGTTCAGCACTATAGATGTTACCCATCACATTTTTTCTTAGCACATTGAACAGCATAACAATACAAACTTGAATTGCACAGGAACATGTCCAAATTCTACATTTGCAGAACTCAACACATAACACTTTGTGCAATATCTTTTTATTTTTTAAAAAAACGTAACCATGAAAAAGCATAAAATAGGAAAACAAAAAGTCAATAAGGAAGAGATATGCAAATATTATAAAATTGAATAACATTTTCAAAGTAATTTTAGTCTGGTTCTATATATTAAGATATGTCAATTTAAAATTTCATATATTAAAATCAAGATAATATGCAATAATTAATGGCAATAAATAATATAGCATAATTGTTAAATCACGATGAGAGACTAATAATTTCTGCCTAGTCTAAAATTTCTATCCTTATTTAGCAAGTCATAGAGAAATTCAGATGTTAAAATCTTATAGAAGAAATCCAAACACTGGATGCAATACAAACACATATGTGGAATTATAATCCAGGAATGGTTTCCATGTTGTTTTTTAACATTGATGCATACTCCCACTCTAAACTTAATTTGCCATTCTTTTACAGAAGGGATTATACATAATTTCCAGTGAGAAGCATAGATTATCCTAGAATTGTAAACCGTTTGGTATACTTTATTGGAATCCAAGGTTTGGTAATTAATGGAAAAATAGGTTGGAAAGAGAATTCAATCTTTAGATTTTGTTTCATTTTGTATAAATTATTTTCTAGAATTATTGGGCTTTGTAGCATTCCTACCAAATATGAAAAAATATGTGGCTTATTATATTTATAACAATTTTTAAAGAATGAATTATACTCTTTGTGCAGTGTCAAACACTTAAGTGTTTTGATTAGTAAAAGGGATACAAGTGCTCAAAAATTGGTTTTGCCATTATTATTCTAATAACACTATTGACTTTGGTCTGTTATCACATGCTAATTTGCCATGGTTCTTTTGTGAATTGGTAATATTAATATTACAGTGTTTTTCATTTTACTTCAAGCGTGGACCTCAGATGCCTTTGATATTTCTTTATGTTGTTGACACTTGTATGGAAGATGAAGACTTGCAAGCTTTGAAAGAATCCATGCAAATGTCATTAAGTCTCCTACCTCCTACTGCTTTGGTAGGACTTATTACTTTTGGGAGAATGGTGCAAGTTCATGAGCTTGGCTGTGAAGGAATTTCCAAAAGTTATGTGTTTAGAGGGACAAAGGATCTATCTGCAAAACAACTTCAGGTAGATATCAGAGATTTAATTTGATCACTTATTCTGTGATTGTTGCGTCTTGGAAAATTGCGGGGAGATGGGCAGGGATAAGTCTGTTAAAATAAATAAATAAATAAATAGAAGTAGAATATCTCTGCTTGATTGAACAAAGTATTACAGTTCAGGAATTAAGAGCACATTTTCTGATTTTATCTGTTTTTAATTTTAAAAACATTTAAATAACATTCTTAAATCTCAGTGGAAATGTTATAAAGATTGAACTACCTGTCCAGTAGTGCCAATATACCATGCTTAATTTTAAAGTTACTATTAGTATTCATAATCTTCTACTTTAAGATTAAAAATAGTGAAAAAGTATGACATACATTTATTAAAAATCTGTAATGACAGTGAGTGTACTTTGTACACACACACGTACATGCAGTCTAACTCTGAAGTAAGGGGGAATACTAGCTGGACCCCCAGTCTCCATCTGGTCAGGCTATAGACTCCTTTTCCTTTTCCTTCCTTGCAACTTGAAAGCTCAGTAATGTGGGTGAAGTGTATAAGCAGATAGGAAGAGAAGCCTTGGACAGGTATGTCAGAAACTTACGTGCAAACTTAAATCCTAATTAAAGGGAAATAGTAAGAGACAGAAAGGGAAACCAGATAAGTGCTTGAAAATGAAAACAAAAAGCTAATCTTACTAATCTATAATATACTTTGAGGTAGTGAAATAAATACAGAGATATTAGCATAAAAATAAACTGTTTAGTCAAAGAGCTAAGCATCCTACTTAAACAAGGTTAGACTAAAGGTCAGTAGGGAGCCAGTAAAATATACTTTTCTTTTTTAATTCAAGGGAATGGTATATAAAGCTGTTGATTTAAAAGAGGATTTTGGCCCACTTTGGCAGATTTGATATACCAAAAGTCTTCCTGTTTCAGAATCAGGAAATTGAAGATATTCCAAGTTAGGTTATGGATGGCAGCTTTCTTAGTCAACAATGCTTGGTGTTTTTTTTAAAAAAATAAATAAAATAAATGGGTATTGGTTGTATAATTGGTTGGTATAATGGAAAGAAGGAATAACCTTGAGGAACAGGAGGAAGAGCTGCAACCAAGACAACAGTCAAATAAAAGAAATCTGAGTCTGGGGCAGAAATGTAATTTGAGAAAGCATCTCAGATGCTCCCTTCCTAGTTCTCATGAAGAAAAAGGGAGGGAAGGGGGAAGCACATTCAGACTTGCAAGATTCTGTTACTATAACCCTATACTAAAACTCTAGTACAGTATTAGCTTGCATGTCTTTGGTTTCCAAGTTTGGTCTGCCTTGGAGGGATGACATCAATCTTGCAAGTCTCACTGTGTTCCCCCCTCCCTTTTCTTCATGAGAACTAGGGAGGGTCATGTCTGAGTTGCTTTCTCAAATTACATTTCTGCT